TGCAAACGACTGAAGAGGCACCCTCGCCATCCCCGTGTTTGCGCTCAGAGCATATATCTAACGATATTACTAATACAAGATCTAAATCTATGATCGCTAGCTTGCTAATACCGGTAGTACAGTAATAAAGATACAGCTGTGTAACTTTAATGACTTGGCTATATTAACATGTTATCATGGAATATGCGTCCGAGCCGCGAGCGTAGTGGTGGTGGTGGGGGGAGAGTGGGAAAGCGGGCGGGTGGCAGGGGGCTCTAATAGCAAAAGCAGTTCCGGCGAGATGGCGCGTGCAAGTGTCATCAATAATCAAAGATGGCATCACCCTTCGTCTGCGTGATAACCTCACTCCATTGAGTTGCTGAAATCCAAGTATATTCAGGCAGGCGAGAATTTGCTCAGGCTGTGAGTTAAACATCTGCATTGCAGGTTGCCAGGCAATAAATTATGATTAGAATAATGCCAGTTCACCCCCATGCATGCGTAATGGGCTGCCCGCATGTTTTTGCCTACACACGCGAACATTCAGAATTCATTTACAGTGTGCTATTACAGTGCTACTCAGGGTGCTAATACAGACTGCTTTAGAAAATAATATGATTTAAGGAGCATAAACCTTGTTCAACAAACATTTGCCTTTGCAATTGAACTGTGCAACTGTAGCCTCACATCCACAATAGCAAAAGCAGTTCAGTCCTTTGTTAACAGTCAACAATCCATGTTACACGCCTCCTCTTGAGGGTCAAAAGGTTATCCGACACTTACTCTTCGCATGTCAGCAGAAAGTACATTTCATGGTCCTTTCAATAAAGCCATAAAAATGCTAGGTCACAGCTAAAACAAAAAAGTTTTTCAATCGCTCCGTCAGACCATGTCCTCAGAAAATGTCTAAAATCTGCCCTGTGCTCCATTGACCTTTGACCTGTGACCTCCAATTTCGACACAGTGATGGCTTTTCCTATCATAATGCTATACACCGACTATCACGAGCCTAGGTCGAGCCGTTTAGATTTGTGCCGCAATTCTGCATTTCCTCCCTATACCTTGAGTTAAGGAGGGAATGTTCCCCCTTCTTTTACACCTCTTGAACTTTGACCTTTGACCCCCAGCTTCGACATCCCAACTCGTTTTGACGATCCCCCCCAACGTCCCAAATATCGTGACTGTACGTTGAGCGGTTAAGATTTGTGCCTAACTGTTGACGGACGCACGACCGGACGCACGCACACACGGACGGACGATCATGCGATTCTACAAGCTGCATCTGACTATGTCAGATGAGCTAAAAACAATGTTCAGTTCACTGAAGGGGCATATAGTTTTACCAGATTTCATAATGAAAGCACTGTTACAGTCACATCACACTTACAGTATTTGTTACATTGTATTTAAATTTTCCTTACATTCTCTTTCATGTGCGTTTTCTCGAGTGCTGCCCACAAGCTTTCATCGTCACTACTATTGAATGGATCCAAATTGTACCTGAAAAGAAGGTTGTAGTAAATATGGTAAATAACAAATCAGTAAAGCACTTAGTTCATTGCCAAATTCATTTTAAAATGTAAACGTAAAAGTAAATGTCATTTTAAATGTAAATGGGGTATGGTGAAATCAGGAGTGCAATAAAGAATTGCACACTCAAACTAGCCATCTCTGTTTGTGGGCAACTAGCAGAGAAAACATTATAAAATTATATTTGGGCCAGCAAGTAACATTGGACTATAAATACATAACAGACAAAGCGATGATAAAACGAACGCACACACTGACTATTATAATTCCTGTAAACTCATTACCACAGGCTTACGACAGTGGGTGCATGTTTACTCAACACGGTAGGTGAATTTGTTATTGGTCCTGTTGGTTGTTTTTCATTTATCAGCGTATAGCCGTGGCATAACAACAGCCATCAATACCTGATTGTACCAGCAAACAGAACTGGATCCTGAGGAATTATGGCGATACGTGATCGCAGGTCCTCCAAGCCGACCTTGGAGATGTCGACCGTGTCGATGCTGATATATCCAGATTCCAGCTCGACCAGGCGAAACAACGCTGTACCTAACGACGATTTCCCTGCACGCAAATATACAGCAATGGGTGAACAACAATCTACATAATCTCTTCATCTGGGTTACATCTGGACAGTATGGTTCATATTGTTGTTGTTATTATTATTGCTGCTTGTTATTACAGTTGCAATCATGTACGTTTCTGATATCTATCTGTGGTCTGTAGTAGTCAGCATGGAAAATAACGTTCAAGGGTTCGTTGTCGTATCAGGTACTACATGTAGATACGTACCCGAGGTACATACATGTATACACAAAGTGTACCAGACTTGTACTACAGAAGTGTACCCTAACCCTAACCCTAACCCTAAACATACCTCATATAAAAATATAAACATAATACTAAACAACCTAAAACTACCTCGGGTACATATCTGTAGTACCTGATACGACAACAAATAAAACAATTACTCAATTAAAATACAATTGTGATTCGAAACACGGCCCATTACATTTGTTATTATTATTTAAATATTTAATACCTTATTAATCAAAATAAATTCAAAATCTTATTTTCTAATAAATATATTTATTTTGAAAAAGAAGGCAAAGAAACAAATTAGATGCACTCACCAGCTCCGGTCCTGCCGCAGATTCCAATCTTCTCTCCAGCTTTGATCTCTAACGTGAGGTCCTTCAGCACAAGCGGGAGGCCTTCCCTGTACTTCAGACACACCTTCTGGAACCTGATCGAGCCGTTCTGTGGCCAGCTCTTCTCTGCATGGTTCAGGAGTTCCACCTCAGTTGAACTCTCGGATTCCAGATGCTGTAAGGTTTGACAGTCGCAAATAAAAAATATCAGAAGTGGAGACATGAACTACAGCTTCGGGCCACATGTATACTGTACTACCTCATGTTGCTTCAATAAGCTTGTGTGAAATAAGAACCTGGTATGTCTTTATGGACCACATTCACTGCACTACTCTATATAGAACCAATGTTTCTGGATGCTCTGAAACCACAAACTTCACAATAACACCTAAGCCTAACTCTGACACTAACCCCTTAAGAGTCATCAGTAGTTACCACATTAACAGCATGGTCAGCAACCAGTAACCAATAGGAAATTAACATTAACCAAAGGTTCAGATGCAGAAAGTTTTCTTTAAACTTCTTAAGTTTTCTTTAACTTTAAAGCAAGTTCCACATTATTAGTTATCAAATGGAAGGCACTGTACTATAATAAAATATGGAGCATGGTGAACAAATTATGGTCAAACTATATTAGTATTCGTTATCGGTATTGTGGCTGATGGAATGGGATTACGTGATAATATTTGTATGCTCTGATTATGTACTTGTGAATGAGCCTGTTATCAAACAGTCCTGTGTGCAGCAACAACAGCAACATGGAAATACAAAGAATTCCGCACATACAAATGTTATCGACTTTTTCATTGGAATGTATTATTCAACCAGCACTACGCCTAACAACACCTACCTGAATATAGTGATGAATTCGTTCAACACAGGTAAACCGTGACTCAGCCTCTGATAGCAGACGTATCGTGAATTGAAACATCCCACTGAGCTGCATCGAAACGAAACGCGACGTCGAACACCAGGGCAAAACCAACATCAACACTATCCCATCTTGTCACACCCACATGTAGGCAAATTTCTACATCAGGCATAACAACACTGCAGAAAAAGTTGCACTGTAAACGTCATTCCTCACAGAATCTGTTTACCATAAAAGCCGTTCACTCGAAAAGGTGGTCGACTGATAAGGACTGAGCCGCCGAATATTAATTATACGGTCAACCTATAACGAATAAATTATAATAGAGGTCCGCCCGGTTTGCGTATGCTGAATCATTATCATTGCTGAGTTGATAAATATTCGTCAACCAATAATGAATAAATTATAATAGAGGTTTCTTCGGTTTTCGCGTGCCGAATGATTGTCGTCATACCGTCATCGCGTAGGTGAGAGCGAGGCCAGACCATGCTGCCCCCTGGTCTCCAACCATCAGTACGCACAGCAGTGCAGTGGTGACAGTCGCACTCAGTGTAATGACATCAAGACGCACGGCCAGCCAGCGAGCCGCACAGTGGAACAGGAAATACGTAGTAGTATGGTCGTCGAGCAGACTGTTAAACCTTGAAAGAAAGAACGAGGAGAAAAACGTTACGTTTCGCTGTATGTATACGACACTAGCAGTATGTTGTCATCATTTCAATACTTCTTGCATTTTCACATGCTATGTGATTACCTTGCAGCACTGAATACAATCGCATTGAACTATGCTATTTACTTGGTTATGGTGTCTCTAGCTTTGTTGTATGCATGTATTGTTGCCAGGCCTTGTACGGATGAGGTTACGTGGCTGAACAAGGGAGAACGAGTCAGGTTCTCTAGTCTCTTCAGTTGCCGAATAGACGTCTGTAATAGAAATGTCATTTTTAACCTGGCATTAATGACAACACTAAAACCACCAGTTGAGAACACCTTATTAAGCATGCTGTGTTAAAGGGATACTATACCCTAGAATTTTTCTAGAGTATATTATGATAGTGCGTGCATAAATAATAGTATATACCCACAAATTACTATAATCACGCATCCACATTTGACATAAAACAGCAGTGAGTTTCGAACTCTTTAGTTTTGATCACTGACATGACACCGCATGATTGTGCTGCCACCTGGACAAAATCGAGCTTCATATACATGTTGCTTTCATATACACAGATTTATCACCATTGTAACATGGTCTGCCATGGTGTTCTAGGTCTCAGATTTACACTCAGCTCAAATATCCAGTTACAAGTAACCTACGTTATATAACCCTGGTTTGAACCCACCTCTAAAATGTCGTTGCAAAACAATCGGGGTTTTAACAAATCTGGCTTGAATAACCTGGAACTGTTTTCATGTAGACACATAACATGGCTTATTTTTCTTTGTTTAAACTCATAACTTAGGGGTTATTTTCCCTTGTGTACGTGTGTCTTATGGGAAGCGTTTCCACAAGTGATGAAGTCACCCTGAATGTTGACAGACAGTGAATCTGCACACTGCATGGCCTCACCTGAAAACACTTCATCACTATGGAGAATGCCAGGCAGAGGGGAATTACGCCGATGAGAAACCATGGAAACACAGCCGCGATGAGGAAGAGAGTGGTAATGATGAACAGTAGGTTGATCAGTGCCATCTCAGAGAGGTAGGGCAGCCTGACATCAACTGTAGCAACAACACGGCAACATTGTTATTAAGCACCATATGACAATAACGTCTGAGACAGGT